ACTTGAGAGGGAATGGACTCTTCTCTCAGTTGATGTGAGAATTGCTTCTCCTGGTCTTGAGAGCTGTGCAGTATGCTGAATTAATGTTAAAGTTTGTAGAATTAGTATGGTAGTTGCATGAATGCAATTGTGATTAAGGATTATTACACTACAAGTGCTATTTGAAAATTCTCTCAAAATTGTAGGCACGTGCAATTTAAAAGAATTTTCAAATATCATGAGTAGTGTAAATCCTTAATTGCTTGATTTTTCACACGATTACTCATTTATTTTATGACAGAGAAGGTGAATGCGTGTGCGTTAATTTGGGGTGTATTCCTTTGGGGTAATCTGGATCAGGATCAGTGGTCCAACTTCACTCTCGATCATAGTTCATCAAAGAAACCAATGAATCCGTGACCAGAGTGGATTCATCAGTTTCTTTGATGAACTATGACCCAAGTGATCTTGGATCACTGATCCTGATCCAGATCACCCCAAAGGAATGCACCCTTGCACTGCATTGCAAATGAAATATTAACAATAAATTGGCCTGCTCTCAGCTAATCACAATTTGAATTAATTTTCTCAGTCATATAATATCAGTTTACAAATATATCAAGGGAATGCTGTAGTTGGGTAACTGAGAATGTTTTTTTCTTTTTTTTGCATGTCAGACTATAAAACATGTATACATACATTGTACATGCACATTTAAACATTGTTTTCCCTGAATTACTTTTATCCTTTAGCATAGAAATTGCAATGCCAGAAAACTAAATACTGCTTGGTTTTTACATTGCCTTATTTTTTAAAGCACAATGCACAATGTATGAGTTTGCTAGAGCTTGAATTGAAGTATTGTAACTAAAATGTACTTGTGTTCATGAGTAGCATTAATTGCCTGTGTGATGTGGTTGTGGTACAAAGAAGCATTAACAAGCTCGTTGAAATTCAAGCCTTCCATGTGTTTTACTCAATGTAGGACATAGAAAATCTAAAGAGGAGCTTACATTATGCAAAGCATGTTCTACAGGCCGATTATGAAAACAAGCTGCAGGAGAGAGCCTTGGACTTGTAAGCATCACACTGAATGGATTAGTAATAACAATTGGATCCCATGTCGTACAATTTACATGTAGGAATAAATCATGTGGGTGTATATATAGTATTACGTAATTTTCAAAATCAAACAAGCAGGTAGTGCGAGGCTGATTTGAAATTATGGGTATGGTGACTCTCTAGATTGTACGACACGAGATCCAAAAACTAATTGATTGTTACATTCATTTGACAAATTTTGAGATTAGAATAGTCTTTTGAGAACTGCTTTTTCAAAAGTGAAAAAGTCATTAATGCTGTTCATAAGCCATAGGAGTTGTTGGAAACACTAAGAGGGAAGCCATTAAAGTGTGTGTAATTGACATGCGAATGGCAGATAGATCTATATCCAATTACAGGTAAACCATATCCAGTTACAAAANTTCCTTGAATTGCTTTTATCCTTTAGCATGGAAATTGCAATGCCAGAAAACTAAATACTGCTTGGTTTTTGCATAGCCTTATTTTTTAAAGCACAATGCACAGTGTATGAGTTTGCTAGAACTTGAATTGAAGTATTGTAACTAAAATGTACTTGTGTTCATGAGTAACATTAATTGCCTGTGTGATGTGGTTGTGGTACAAAGAAGCATTAACAAGTTCTTTGAAATTCAAGCCTTCCATTTGTTTTACTCAATGTAGGACATAGAAAATCTAAAGAGGAGCTTACATTATGCAAAGCATGTTCTACAGGCCGATTATGAAAACAGGCTGCAGGAGAGAGCCTTGGACTTGTAAGCATCACACTGAATGGATTAGTAATAACAATCGGATCCCATGTCGTACAATTTACATGTATGAATAAATTATGTGGGTATATATATAGTATTACATAATTTTCAAAATCAAACAAGCAGGTAGTGCGAGGCTGATTTGAAATTATGGGTATGACGACTCTCTGAATTGTATGACATGAGATCCAAAAACTAATTGATTGTTACATTCATTTGACAAATTTTGAGATTAAAATAGTCTTTTGAGAACTGCTTTTTCAAAAGTGAAAAAGTCATTAATGCTGTCCATAAGCCATAGGAGTTGTTGGAAACACTAAGAGGGAAGCCATTAAAGTGTGTGTAATTGACATGCGAATGGCAGATAGATCTATATCTAATTACAGGTAAACCATATCCAGTTACAAAAAGTTGTAGTTGGATACCTGTAGTAGTGGCATATCTAGGGGAGGGGCTTGGGGGGCCTTATTTTGGGTAACAAAAGAAGAAATCACAGAAGGAAGAAAAGCCGACAGGGAAAGCAAAACACCTGTTACAACTGGGTACCGCAATGATTTGATTTAACACCTAGGACACTTATTTATGGTACTTTTGATACCTCAAGGGAGGGCACTTATTCGAGGCAGGGTGCTTATTTGAGACAGTGCACTCAGAGAACCAGCCGAGTAATCACCTCAAAATTTGAAGAAGAGATCATTCCTGTGAAGGAATTAAATGTATGCATTCACATGGACATAATAGGGGAGAAACTCAGATGAAGACCACTGTTTTTGTAATGCAACATTATGTTTGTGAGCAATTAAGGAAGATGAACCCC